TCGTTACCAGTAACTACTAACGAGATGCGTTTATTTTTCATAGCTTTTGTAACGAGTAACGCAGCGTTATTTGCGTTACTTTTCTAGTAACGCAGTAACGCTTGCGTTATACGTTACTTGTAACGCATAATACAGTAACGCTTTAGTCGCATTTTGTCCGGAAGGTGATAAAACAATACATTTTCGGTTGTTCATCACTCATACGGTGATATTTGAAAGCGTTGCTTTACTCAGTAAAGTAACGCATCAGTAAAGAAAATATGCCACCCCTAGTTTGTAGCCCTCAAAGATGGAGAACTTCTGAAGTAGAAGGCAATATAGCCAGACGTACTATGTTACAATTTTATATGCATGAAAAACAATTCGCTATTTTGACGGATAGACTTTTGTTATTATAGACAAAAGAGAAGAACATACCACAACTCCACAAAACTGGTGTGCTCTTTGTCATCATTGTCATATCGAGAAAAATTCACCGGTTAGAAAAGATGTGAGAGAAGTGATCTTGTGGAATAGGAAGGGGGGGTGGTAAAAATGGTAAGGAAGAAGTTTGGCAGAAAAGATATAGAAGCGATTAGGTAAGTCAGCTTCCATCTCTACCATCTCAAAACAACGTACTTTTGATTCCAATGTCACTAATGATATCAAGTAACGAATCATTAGAAGCTTGAGAGAGCAACAAATTTGAACAAAGATGCATTACGGAAGACAAAAGTCAAGTAATATCAAAATTTTCTTTGCATTTTTACTACACGGTCTTTCCGTTTTTTCTTATTTCGAAAAAATTGGACGACTTTGTGATCAATCAATCTCCCGCAACGATAGGACAATCGTGAACGCATTTGAAAAAGAGAGTATACTTGAACTTGAACTTTATTTTATGCACGCAAAATCTCCATAAAATAATTAAGAATACACAGGAATGCACAAAAAGCCAGTAGCTTGCACCAGAAAGTGCAACGTGAACGGAGGAGAATACAAGTATAGAAAGAGAGGCAAGAAAAGAGTAGTTCTTTCAAATTTTACGGACACAACATATCTTTCGAACCGATCGCCTTTCTCTTAGATAAATGTTCAGAAGCTGCAATCATTGAATACCTTGAATTCTCATTGTTGTTCTTGTTGTTTGCTGCATCGAAGATGTGAGGGCTGATTGTCGTTGAAACATTCTCAGCAATTCTTTTCGAAATATTTTACCACTTAATGTATAGATGAGAAATATGATACTGCCATTGATATATGATACCAAAACTGTAAGTTGAAAGATGAAACCTTCAATAGCTAATCTCAAGGGCGATTTTGTTGTCATTGACATTGTGAGTGTTTGGTACAGTTTGTATATTGATATCGGCAGTACACGTATGGTATTAGTTAATACCTCAAAGAATACAAGAAACACTGTTAATGCTCTGATTTCATGTAGTTCAGCCCAGGCTTAGATCGAACAGACTCGGAAGAACTATTGAGCACACGCGTACCTTTAAACTGTATTGAAAAATCCACATATCGTATGTTCTTCTATCACGACTTTAGATCTACACAAATTCACGTTCCCATACGACTTAGATGGGAAGCGACCTTAAACGTTTGCACACGGACGCTTCCACGCAGCTCTGCGCACTTTACATAATCTTATGTCAAAGTTCACTATATGAAAATTTCACAGCTGCTTCTCCTTCATTGTAAGAAAGCCTCTGTTCTTTTACGTACTTGAACCAGCAGCATAGTAATTACCTGTAAATCACGTTGACGTATTTTCGGTGCTTGAGAGGTGGTCTTCGTGATCGAGGCCTCAGTGGTAGGAATCGTTCGTGGACGTATCTTTTTCATATTATTTATTGTTAAAAGGCCAAAATTAATCATAAGTGTGATTGGCGGAAGACAGCCAAACAGCAGAAATACAATACTGTCAACCATGAGACAGACATTCATAGTTTTTGGCATAACACAGTAAGGGGGCTCCAATTTGCTTTGCATCAAAACAGTAAAATACTTGACCATATGCCAAACATCCAGCGACTAAAACTGCAGCAATGGAACGATATACATTTTTTAAATTACTAAGATTTCTGATTGAAACGGTGGAGCACGTTGATATGTATCGGTCAGCACAAGCCCAAACAATGAACCATAAGGATGCCACATCAGATACATATAGAGTAAAAAATCGTATTTTACAGACTACAGGCGGAACCGAGTTGGATCAACACCAAATCCGCTGAGACAACGAATCAAGAGACCAGAATACAATTGAAAAATGTTAGCAATGCTAGACCATAAAAAATAAACAACACAGGGATTGCGTCTCAAACCTCGTTTGGTAAAAACAAACACATTGAGTAAGTTTCCTATGGTGCCGATGAATAACAGCGGGATTGTCCCATAACGGTTGATCTGGACCGACTAATAGTTGAGATAAGATGGCGATGCACCCATTTAATGCTTGCTAGATAAGATAACAACTTTGAACTAAAGTATGGAGAATTTCCTAAAACACGACTCTAGTGGTATTGGCCTTACTTGTTAGAGCCCTGACAGAATTGAAATCCTGATAATGCACCGCTCTTACAGGGAATAAAGAATTTACTTTGTTTCTATCCATGGATTATAATAATCTTTTGTTTTTGTTCTTAATTTTGAAAAGCATTCAATATTATACATCGAAGATAGTCCCACGGCAGAATGAATTGAATGAAAAATTATAAAATTCCTTCAACTGTTCGTTAAAATTACGATATGCCAGGTTTAATCTTCTTTTTTAATATAAAGTGGCTGTTGGACATATTTAGATCTTGAGCGAAATAACCTTGAATTCCGAATATTACATGGGTTTGGGCCCAATTTTAGTTTAAAGACCCGATTTTTGAAATACTGGGTTTTGAGGTCGAAAAATCATTTGCAATAAAAGAAGTTTTTGATCCGTGAATATGAAAGAGCATATCACAAAACCCCCGTAAAACTGTTTTTCAAGATTTTAGAGGAGATTTTGAGCGGGTTTTGAAAGACTCATCATCATCATCATCAGCCAACTGCAAGGGCGTCATAGCGTGTGCAGTCGATCACTAGCTTTCTCTACTCTTCGCGATTTTGCGCAGCCTTCTCTATCTCAGCTTCTGTCATCAAATGTGTGCTGCATATCAGTTGGGCGATACTTTTAACGAAGCTCAGTTTTGGTCGTCCTAGCTTTGGGTTTCCTAGCTGTTCACTTGGTTGGTACAAAGCATATTTTCGAATTGGCTCTTCTTTGTCGCGTCCGAGCATGTGACCAACCCATGTTAACTGTCTTTCGGCCATTTTGATGGATAATGGGAGACGATTGACTCGATTGTACAGCATCTTGTTTGACACATGCTAGATTCGTTTTATGCGTAACATGATTCTATAGCAGTCGGTGGCAAAGCTGTCGATTTCTTTTCTTTTGCTGCTGTGTGAGAATCCATGTTTCACTTCCGTACAGTAGAATCGCGGTGCAAGAGGCCTCAAAGAAGGGGATTTTGAGAGAGAGCGGGTTTGCTTTGCTCTCCAGATGGTTTCCATTTTCCAAAATGCTACCCATGCGAGTGATTTGCGGTGCTTTATGTCTTTTTTAGACGATGCCATAATCGAGCCAAGATACTTAAAGTCGGCTACCAGTTCGATTGGTTCACCGTTTAGCGTGAGTGTACCTTGTGCTGCATTTGAGGTATTGAGTTCCATTCGTTTTGTTTTACCAACATTTATTTCGCGACCTGCTTTGAGTGCGCTGTTGTTTGTTCTGTCAAGTTGGTGTTGGTCTCGAATGAGACTTCCTTCTAGTAGGGCGATGTCATTGGCGTAGGCGAGGTCGTTGAGGCGCTGTTCTGGCATTCTTCTGGGCTGTCGTAGATGGGTGACAAATCCAAACTCTCCTTCTGCCTCTCGCATTACATAATCCATGACAATTATGAATAGAGATGGTGCTAGAGCGTCTCCTCGCAAAACGCCAGTTGAGACCTTGAATTCTTTGGAGAATTTACCGTCTACGAAGACATTACTTGTTGAATCGTCATAGAGGACACGAATGGCTCGTACGATCTCTTCTGGAATGCCATGACTTCGACGAATGGCGAACATTGTCTTACGGCAGATGGAATCGAACGCCTTCTTGAAGTCTATGAATATTATGAAGAATGGTATCTGTTTCGCTGTAACACGTTCCATTATTCGTCGAAGAATGTGGATCTGCTGGATGCAGCTGAGCTCTTTGCGAAAGCCTGCTTGATTTCGTCGTAGAATTTTGTCGACTATAGGCATGAGACGATTTAGGAGCATCTTGTTGTAGATCTTTGCTGCTATTGACATCAGAAATATTCCTCTGTAGTTGCTCATCATTTGAAGATTATCTTTCTTCGGCACAGGTACAATGAGGTTTGTAGTCCACTGGCTTGGCGCTTTGTGTTGTTCGTATACGCTTGAGCAAATTGTGTTGTTTGTCTGCTATACTGTTTTCTTTCATTCGAAAATTCTTTAAAAATCTTATACGTCTCTATTTAAAGGGTACACAGTTATCTTTTAATATTAACTAGTTATATTCACAATTTCTGTTAACACAGCAATGTCAAGTGGAATTGCATTTAATATTCTATGAACAATGTTGTTCGTTCCCACAATTTGAGTCATTCTTAAATTACACACCGAATTTCTTCTGGTTGAAAGTTAATGGACATTTTCGATTGAGCCGAAATTATTTGGAATACGGATTTCTTGATTCTCAACGTTGGAAAAGATTGTGAGAAGAAAAATTAACTAACCCTAGTGGAACTTCTTGTACCCAAGATCTTGGATTAAGAAATGTCACAAGAACTTGGATTCTCGAAACTTTCACTCAAGATTTTGAAACATCTTGGCTTACTCTACTCGAGACCTTGGGAACAGAAATTTCAAGATCTTGAGTGAATCCACTCAAGATGTTGCAAGAGCTTGAGTGACAAATTTCCTTTTCATTTTGTTTTTATGTATGACAGTCATAGTCATCGGATAGACGACTATATAGAGTCAGAGATTCTTCCTTAAACAACTATGGTCAAGAAGCAAAAAAAATTTTAAGTTATTCTAAGTGCGAAAATATTTGCACTTATATTTGTACAAGAGCGTATATTCGGCAAAAATCTTAGTGGAAATAATTATTCTTGATTTCTCCCGATGCCCGGTGTAGCCCACCTCTGGTTACGCCACTATTTGAAAGCCATTCTAAGCCGCTGCCTGGATATTTCCACCATACGTAAAAAATAATTACCACAAAGTTAACTAACAGATAGTTACCGTTATTTCAACGGTAACTAGAAAGGCAGTTACCGTTGTTTTAACGATAACTGTCTTTTCAGTTACTGTTGTCGATAACAGCCGAAGAAGTAACGGTAACTTTTACAGTCCTACCGCTTCACTCTCCAACGGATGAACGCTCATTTCAATCAAGAAACTAAGTCAATGAAAAATGAACATTACTTGTTAGATGTTTGTTTACTTTGTGGTCTTTTCTCTATGGGCTGATCACTTACCTAACTGTTTTAAATCACTACGACGGCACCATTTTTTCATTGACAGTTACGTTTATACATTTATGCTCAAGAACTAGTTTTTATTCGATATACTTTCAAGATAAAACTTCTACTTTTTCTTCCGTAATATAAAATGTGAAAAGGCATCTAAAAGCCACCAGATAAATACAACTACTATCGCTCCATAAATACAGTGCAGAGTGGCGTTTTTCGAATAACTTTTTATGGAAAAGTCCTAGCGATCTACGGTTTTTACCGTCGTGTAGAGGACGATTTTTTCCCGTAGAAAAATAGTAAGCCCCACAAGGTGCAC